AGAGAGAGAGAGAGAGAGAGAGAGAGAGAGAGAGAGAGAGAGAGAATGAATTAGCTACTTGGTAGGTTGCTCACTTAGTACTTGTGATGCCTTAAATTCTATTTCTATACTATTCTCATGAGAGTTGGGCATATCCTGTTTTTGAATCATTCTGTTAAATCTTTCTCTGATTCATCACTTTGTCTACTCCTCAATTAGATGTTACTTTCAAACATGGTTGCTTCCTTCTATAAACTAATCTTACCTGTATTGTTTGGGATTAAAGGCATTTACTAAAGGTTTATCTGTATTCCTGCCAGATCACAGAGACCTTGAAGGTCTTTGGATGTGGTTCCTTGCCAGAGCAGTCATTTTGCTGGATTAAAATTCCTCTGACCTATAGCTTTCTTTCTTAAAACAAATGTGAAGTTTAATGCCTTCTTCCTGACAGAAATTAGAGATTATGACTAGTTGTGTCAAATACAATGATTTTTATTTTGATTGAATTAGGACACTAGAAAGACTTCCTTCATGCTAAGTCTTTAAACACAAATGAAAATAGTCAGCGTAGTCCTAGATGCCAACATCTTTATACTAATAGTCCGGTACCTGTATGCAGCCTGAGTAGAGGGTGGCCAGTTTTAGGTCATAAAACATTTGCCCCATCCCTGTGGCGTAATATATTCTTGCCTAAATGTTTGTAGTTTGAATAGATTTTCCCAAACTGTCATCTGATACTTTGGCCAGTTCTTATGCCCATCCCCAAAAGGAATCTAAGAATTAAAAAAAAATCCAAGCAATTCATATACTCTTAACATCCTCAGATATTAAGAATATATAATGAACTTTCTGTTCAAAATATTCATGTAAAATCCATATTAAATATTTTATAAGATCTGTCTTGTTTCTTTCTTGTGCTTTCTCCAAACATTCTACAAACAATAATTATTTATAGGAGACCACAGTTTTGGGGGTACTTTTAAGTCTCTTACATGCTAACACTTAAGATAAAAACAAAGTTTTCCTGTCTCATTTCATGTTTTAGTATTAAAGGAAAAGGAATGAAATGGTCAAAACATGGAGCCATCCGTTTCTTGAATGTAATTCAAAATTAATTAATAAAATGTCTATTTAATTTTTCAGTAATTCAAACACTATATAAGCAAAATTTTTAGAAACTCAGTTATATACTATGTTATTAAGAAGTCCAGCAACTTTTAGACCATTTGTTTATATTTGGTAGCAAAAGCTAACATATATTCATAATAACACTGTGGAAATAAAGGAATTAGAGGATAATAGATGTACTTATCTTGCACAAAATTACTATTTGATTCTCCCATGATTTTATTAATTCTAAACCAACAAATAAGGTATTTAAATTAACATACTAATATTTATGTATGTAATGTCTTCAGACATGTAAGCAAATGATAACTGCATTAGCTCTGTGGGGTCCCAGCAGGCCAATGGCTTTACATGGTATGTTTAAGTAAATATTCAGAGATCTTAACAAGAAATACTTTTGAACAATTATGTAACTCTTTTGGGTGAGTATTTTATTCTCATTTATTATAAATGCTAGACTAGTTAGAAACTGGAACTACAAAGATTCAAGTTGAATGGGAGTAGAATGTATCTTCCCATAAAATATTCTAGACTAATGTTGAAAGATGTCAATAAGATACTCGTCTTGAGCCCTTGGATTGATAGATAGTTCTAAAAGAAATCTAGCTAAATCCCAGAAATCAAAATAAGTATGAACTATTAGATGTTTGTTCTTGAAGAATCTATGATTATGATCACAAACTTCTTTCTTCTTAGTGAATAAATCATCAGAAAAATAATGAAAAGAAAATGTTCTGAAGTGTGGACCATTATTTACCAAAGTTAAAAAAATGAACCTAATTAAAGACTCATGGTCTTTGCAAACTTTTATGATAAGAATGTTTCCTTCTTATCTTTGTTCTCTAATACAACATCATGCTTATTTAACAGAGTGTTAAATTAGACATTTAAATAGGACAAATGAAAAATATAGGTATTATTAAAGATATGAATATGGTTTCATTGGTTTATGTAAGAGCTTTATGCAGGCAACTAAATCAAATGCTTAGCATGGTTTATGCTTATTAGCACATGTTAAGGCTCAATAATAACACTCCTTAATCTAAATCAATTTTTAAGAGTATGATATAACTATAAATTAAATATAAAGAAAAATATTTAGTTTTCTTTACAGAATATGAGTTAAGGCTTCTCAACAATTTTTTTTGTCTAGTTGATAAAAAATACTTACAATGCATTGTTGATACATATGTCCTTCTGATGACCATAGCCCCTTCTTTAGGTTACCATTGCATATTTTAATTTGAGTGGAATGGGGCTGAGAGGAAAGTGGCCTGACCACTTATGAACCTACAGTTAACTAGCAAGAAATGCTAACAGGCATTAATAATGCAAGCGCAGATATTAGACAAAAGCAAGTCACTTGACCTAACGTGAAGGGCAAGAGGGAAACTAAAACCAAGCAAAGCATTTTAACAAAAACATGACATAGTTGGAACCACACAAATTGAATCTGGCAGCTATTTCTTTGTGTTACAAGAGTGGGAAAAACCAAGAGGCAAAGAGACAGAAAAGGAGGGATTACAGCATTTCTTAAGACTTGGGCTGAGGCATGCTCAAACGAACAGTCTCCCGAGCAGAAGGAAAAGGGAGAGATATTAAAGATGTTGGGATGAACTGAGGATTTGGCAACAACAGAGTTCAAAGGTTTTCTTGTTATTAAAATTTTCCAATGCCAAAATTTTCTCAATTTAAGGCATGGCAGAAGAACAAGGTACTGTGTCTCTTTTGTTTACACAGATAAAGGACAACAGAAGTGGAAGGCATTAACTTCAATACTCCCTGGATACTGTTTCTGAAGGAAAGTGCCAATTTAAAATTTAGCTTGCAAGTGTGATTAATGTTCCCATTTCTACATGGTTTTTTTCATTAAAACAATGAGCTATTTGATCAACACAGCGATGAAGTTATACTATACTAAGGATGTGGTGAAACTGGGGCATTTTATGAAAACTTTGCATTTACCTTTCCAACAAAAGTATAAATAACTTGCTTTTATTTCCCTTTTATAAGGCAAATGCACTTTCCTTAGTTCCAAGTCTTTTCTAAAATATAAATGTTAGGAAGAAAGAAGCATCTCCAGAATTTTAAAGGTCCTACTATGTTCGTTCCCCATTCCTTCCTACCCTAATTCACCTACTGCAACAGCTAGTTTACTAGTGACTATGACTTAAATATTTAAAACCCACACTAATCTGTTTCTATAGATACGAAGACATCTTCCATATTTTACGCATGGTCTTTGACATGTGTTCATATCGCTGATCAATAGTTAATTGTTATAGTCAACATTAGCTCATATAAGATTGCATAAGTCAGTGCATCTGTATGCATACGTAATAAAGATTGTATGAGTTTCCCTTTCAACACAAATGATTTATCTGTACCCTCTCATTTCATTCTTTGACTACAAGTGCAATCAACTCGGGGAAAATAGTCACTCTCATGCATAATGTAGAATCATGGAGATACCAATTATGTTACAACTCAATAGTTTCATTCGACAGTACACTCTTCTATCCCACTGTTATACAGTGTTATAGATTAATGTAATGTAATAGCTACAGGTTCGATTACACATACTTTAATTTTTACTCTAAACAATTTGTTTGCTTATTTCCAAAGAGAAAAAAAGTAGCATTTACATAGACCAAGAAAAATTAATTTGTAGTTTCTTATAAGACATATGTAATTTCTAGTAATTTATTTTATAGGAAATATTCACATAAATTATGCCAGTGGGGCCATGTGTTCCCTATCTGAGGTTTCCTGATGAGTTTCTCAGTTACACAGGATCCACTTCTCACTGAGTTGCTATCTAGATTTCTACGCTGTGTTCAATTGTGCTAGCACCCTTTAGATAAAAACTGCCCAAGTATATCAGGAACAAATAAAAAGCAAAGTCAATGATACTCAAACAACTGAGTAGTAACAATATCCATATGACTAGACGTATCCACCCAGTTAGATTACAGAAGCCTCTCGAGTAGAAAGTCCTCAGGCAGAAACCTAGAAATATCCAATAACACATTCCCATGCTGCTTGTTACAGAATTCTAGTCTAACTTTCCTAGCTTACTGTTTTACTTTAGTTTGTTTTAATCTTTTTGTATCTATAATAAACCTTTCAAAAGAGTATACAGTTGAGCCTATTGAAAAAGAGAAGAGGGATAACAAACAGATTCTGTTTCTTGTGACAGTACATGTTCTAGGAAGTTAAAGATTGCCCAGCAGTGTTCTCAGAGCCACATCCAAACTTCATACTTTCTAATGGTAGGTCAAAGGGCTAGCTGAATTGATGCTACTCATTGGAATATTTTGAAGTAAGACTGACTTTTCCCTACCATTCAACTCTGTTACCCAAATTTTTGAGATGGTATTTGCACCTAAAAAAGTAATTTTATGTAATTTTTCTGTGATAAAATTGGTTGTTTTGGGAGAAGTTTATAACTTCATCTTGCTTCAGAAGGAAATTGTATAAAAAAAAATAGTAAAATCAATAAACATACCTCTCCATTGAAGAAGCAGAAAATTGTAGACACCAGAAGACCCTGTAAAAAATAAAATAAAATTATCTGAGTCTATTTTTTATTATATTCCTTATTATTTAAAACAATTCTTTAATTTAAAATATTTTGATCATATTTTCCCCTCTCCCAAGTCCTTCCAGATCGTCTCTCCCTCCTTACCCATTCAACTTTAAGTCCTTTCTTAAAAAAAAACAAACAAAAACCCAACACAACATCAACCCCTCAAAACATGAAAACAAAATAAAACTATGCCCAAAAAGAAAAACAAAAACCATCAAACTGTAACCAAATAAAACAACACATACACCTACACACACATGCACATGGACACACACACACTGTGGAGTCCATTATATATTGGTCAACTACTTCTGAACATGATGCTGGCCCTGGAGTGGTTGATATACTGTCACATCATTGAAGAAAACTCATTTTCCCTCTCTCAGCAGGTATCAGTTGACAGTTCAGTTGCTAACATTTGCTCTGGTGGCTGGGTTTTCTTTTATTCATTCATTCATTCATTCATTCATTCAAAATATAATAAGATAAAACAAAATAGTCACATCGAAGTTGGACAACACAAACCCACAGAAGGAAAAGAACCGAAGAGTACAGCTCTTGACTGTGTACAGCCCTTAAAGAAGAATGTTGCCTTTACATAGACAAGACAGGGAAGGTTAAAGAGAGCATGAAAAAGGTCAGAGAAGGCCCTGAGAAAAGACAGAGAGACAAAGAGAAAGAGAAAGATGAGAGCTGGTACAAGAATTGGTTTTCAACCTCTCCATGGTTGTCCACCCTACTTCCTCCTATCTTGGGACCATTAATTGGGTTATTTTTGCTTACTTCTTTTGGTCCCTGGGCCTTAAATAGGATGACTAACTCTGTGAAACAATAAATAAATAATTTGGTAGCAAAACCTATTCAAATACTTTACCATAAGTTAGCTATGGAGGACCACAAGACTCAAGATGGGGTTGTTATTCTATCCAGGGTGTTCCCAAAACCCATCTCCACCCAACTTAAAAGAGGGGACTTCTTCCCCTAGACCAAGGAAAGAGGGGCCACCCAGAACCCCCTCTGACAGGCGATCTGAATTCTTGCTTAGGCTGCGAGGCTAAGCACTGCAAGGGAATATAAATAAAAGTTAAAAATATCTCTCTTGGTTCCCTGAGGGACAAGCCTGACTGCATAGGGGATGATGTCAAAAGTATCCACTCTCCGGAAAAAAGACATCAGGATGGGTACGGCCCTCATTCCCCACTGGACAACGACAGGGGGACCAGAGCCAGTACAGAGTCCCCTTCAATTACTGGAGGTCAGACCTCTATCCCCGCCTTCACAAGATTAGAATTGCCACAGCCCTTCTATACTTAGAGAAGGGAGGAGATGTCAGGGGCAGCCCTGCTTACACACTGAAGGCCTAAAATCAGCCATAGGCCTAAAATCAGCAATAGGCCTGTCATACATGTATACTAACACCAAGTCTTGGGTCTCTGTGGAAAAACATTGAAACAGATGGCTATAAGCTATTGTAAACAGGCAGCTTTTGTGGAAATTTACCAGCCTGAGGAGTCATAGACCTTGTAAATAGGTAGCCTTAGGGGACAGTACCAACTTAGATAAGGACAAGTGAATCATAGGCAGAGTCATAGTGACCTGTCTCCTGAACCTTCACCCAGCCAATACCCTGTTCTGAAAGATATCTGTACTCCCCCTGAACACTCACACTCCAGTGTCATCCCCTTCCCCACATCCTGCCTTTTTGTGTTTATAACCCCTGTGTGAATAAGTAAAAAATTACAATTTGATTTTTTTAAAAAATAATAATAATCGTAATAGTAATAATAATTTTAAAAAAAAAGAAAACTCATTTTCCCTCTCTCAGAAGGTTTCAGTTGACAGTTCAGTTGCTAACCTTTACTCTGGTGGCTAGGTTTTCTTTTATTCATTCATTCATTCAAAATATAATAAGATAAAACAAAAATGATCACATTGAAGTTGGACAAGACAAACCCACAGAAGGAAAAGAACCCAAGAGAAGGCACGAGAATCAGAAAGGCTTCACGTTATACAAGTAGTCAAGAGTGAAACCAAACTTACATGTAAACTCAATACAAAACTTGTCAAGCTGCCCTCTTGAAGGCAGGCACGCCTTACCTGATAGTGCATCAGAATGTGCATGACATAGTCATACACCTCCTCAGCAACCTTTCCTTCAGGCCGCCATGGAAAAAGCACAAATTCAATGCCAAGTAGTGGGACCAGGATGAGGGTAGCTCTTACGGCTTTCATGTAGAGATTGGATTCCGCTTGGTGTGTGACTTTCAACTTGGTGATGAGAACACGTACAATATTTAATAGGAAAAAGAGATTTACCTAAAAAGAAAATAAAAGACTGTCTAAAAGTCTGTTTTGTTTAATATTAAGAAGCCTATGAGAGCCAGGCAGAGGTAGGACAAGCCTTTAATCCCAGCACTTGGGTGGCAGAGGCCAGTCTGATCTATAGAGTGAGTTCCAAGACAGTCAAGGCTACACAGAGAAATCCTGTTTCAAAAACATACATAGATGGATAGATAGGTAGATAGATGATAGATAGATAGATAGATAGATAGATAGATAGATAGATAGATAGATAGATAAGAAAGATAGATAGATGATAGATAGATAGATAGATAGATAGATAATAGATAGATGGATAAACAGATAGATAGATAAACAAATTTTTAAAAAAGAAAGAAGGCTATGAGAACTCCAGTTTTATAAAACTTAAACTATTTCATGTACAAGATCTAAAGGCACATTTTTGTAAAATATTAATTAGTGTGTATTTATAAAGTAATGTTATTCCATTTACAGGTACATAAATTTTAGTGAAATTAATTTTTATAAAAATAAAATTATGTTAAAATTATTGTGAAACATAGTCAGGAAATATTTGAGCCGTTTTAAGCTCATTTTCTATCTAATATTTAAGATGCGTCTATTATTCCAATTCAAGGTCATAAACACTTTTAGCAAAAAGGAATTATTCTTAAGAAATGTTATTTTTTAATATTTTTTATTACTTTGTGTGTGTGTGTGTGTGTGTGTGTGTGTGTGTGTGTGTGTGTAACAGTGGAAGCCAGAGGAAGATGTCAGATACATAGAGCTGGAATTATAGGCAGTCGTGAGCTGTCTAACATGGAGGCTGGGAACTGAACTCTGGTCCTCTGGAAGAGTAGCAACTCTTCTTAACTGCTGAGCCATTTCTTCAGCCTCAACAAATGTTAATTTTTAAAAGAATCACCTTTTCATCAGTGCCTATACAATGTACTCTCCAAGAGTGTATTGTGCCAAAATAACTATTTTTACATATGTGTTTTGTTTTCCTTTTTGTAATAATGTTAATAAAATCTTTCTATATGAACATTTCTCATAGCAAGTACCTGAAATAGTACTGTCATTTCTCTTTTTGCTTATGGATAAAGAGTTTATGCTACTGAGCCAGCTGATGGTCAAACTAGACTATACCAAAGAATCTTAGGCTTCCCATAACAACTTCTATAAATAACTCTCTGAACTACAATTTACTATTTATTGTGCCATAGCAACTTTCCCCAAGAGATAGCATTGTCTTTGAAGGGTTTCACAGAACTCTAAAAATGGAATTTGACTCAGCAATTAAGAATGTGTCTTATGAATGCATTAATTTCAATTTGTCTATGCTCTACCATCCTTTTCATCCACTTTCTCTTTCTTCAAACTCTATTTCCTCTCCTTTTATACTGACTACTTTAGGTTTTTTCCACCTGTTCCTGTGATAATATACTCTGACAAAGTAATGTAAGAGTTTATTTTAGCACATAGCCCAACAGACTAGACTAGATCTAAGACTAGTCTATTTGTCAATAGACTGCATAAGGAGGGCATCAAGGTGGCAGGAATCTGAGGCAGTTGGCCTCATTCTATATTCAGTCGGGAATCAGCAGCATGGAATGCATGCTAGTGCTGAGCTTACTTGCTCCATTATAGACTGCCCAGGATAACCTGACTATGAAATGGTCTTGTCCATGATTAAACTGTATCTTCCCACATCAATTAAGGTAATTGAGAAAAATCACCTACAAACATGCCCAGAGGCCTTTTGGGTGACTCTAGATCCTGACAAGATGACAGCTAACACTGACCACTATATTGACCTAAATACAAACTAAATTTTGCCCATTTCTTATGGACAATTCATTTTGTCAATAAATGTCACATTGGGTAAACTGTTGATTTCTTTCTTTTTTCTGTGACCTTTGACTTCTATAACATCTGTTGTTTGTTGATGTTTAAACAACAAGTATCTTAATAAATTCAAATAATGGAAGTCCATCTTTCATCAAGGCAAAAAAAAATGAATAAATAGCATGTGTCATGAAAATAATTAAGTACAAAATTAGTCCACTGCTAAAATAATTCAGTGTAACACAGGCTTTAAACATAATATAGCTAACCAGTCTCCTGATGAGAACACATTTGTGAGAAAAACACATTGACAGACATTGGAATGCAATGCAGACAGACATAGAGAAAGCCATCTGACAGGTGGGACATGAACAGTGACACAAGCCAGCATGCTGGTTCTATTCCTAACCCTCTAAAGAGAGTTCCTTCTAGCATGCAGATGGAGTTTTTTAAAAATAAAAATAAAAATTACTACCACTTCCTGGGAAAGTTGTATGACTTTTTGTCCACTTAGGAATGATCTTTTATCCATTTATAAGTTATAGATATGAATTATATTACAAAGTATTTAAACATCCTAATATACAAAAAACACTAATTGATAAATGGTAGAAATGTAGCCACTTAGATCTCTCTTCCATGAAAGAACAGTTAAATACAAAGCTATTCATTAAAGCCGTCATTCTGGCTTAAAACACGAAGCTAGAACTGAAGAGGAAGCTAATGTTTATGTAAGCTTCTCTCTATATATAGCTGGGGCAGGGTGAACTGGAATCTATGCTCTATGCAGTTTCCCACATCAGTATTATTTTAAGCAAAAGCAGAAGAACTTTACATTTCAGATGAACCTCATCTGAATATCCTCTAACTTAAAACAGAACTGATTAACAGATTTCTGTTTTGTTTTGTTTTTTTTTAACTTATGTGTTTGGCAATTTTGTAACATGACTACTCATTCACATCATTCCCCAACTCTCCTCCTCCCCCCTGAAACTTCTTTCAGGTAAACCCCCATCCCCACACCCTCCCAAATCTATGGCCTCTTTTTATTTAATTATTACTGTTATATGTGTGCATATATTTAGGTACACATATAAATATCTAAGTATACCAACTTAGCCCGTTTAGTGTAGCTCATGTGTGTATAGACATATATAGAACTGAGTACTTGGTTAGCCAATAATGGTTGGTGTTCATCCCTGGGAAAGATGAAGAGTTACAGATCATTAATGCCTGCTGAGAAACCTCTTGTTACTATGATAGCCATGATGTTCAATAGCTGGAGGATATCACAAGATATGTTCATATCAACAAAGTGCCCAGGATCATAAAAGAAAGAAGGACAAACCAGTACAGATGCTACAAGTTCACTGTTGGAAGATGTTCACACAAGGATGGCCAGTAATTCCTTACTTAAGTCCTCAAGTGGCCTAAACATCTCCTAGGTCTCAGATTAAATGCATCTTCTCTTGGCATTTGAAAAGTGTTGTATTTGCACCAATGACTACTAGGAGGGTGGGTTGTGAAGGAGGAAGTGGGGAAAAATGGATTTTGCCAGCTGAAAAATACCACTCTTAGGGTCTCTCATGCTCCATGGAAGAAACATTTGTATTAATTTCTTGCTCATTGAAGTTACATAATGAAAGCACTAAACATGACTTCTGTTGCCTTCTAACTGGAAAGGACAAGAGATAAGATTGGCCAGGCACCTTAGGGTCAAGGACCCCCAACATGCACAGTTCCATTCCCATCCTTGGCCAGAAGCAGGGAATGTTCTTCAATTCCTGGTTAAGAATACCAGAAAGGGAAGGGCGGTGGTGGTGCACGCCTTTCATCCCAGCACTTGGGAGGCAGAGGCAGGCAGATTTCTGAGTTCGAGGTCGGCCTGGTCTACAGAGTGAGTTCCAGGACAGCCAGGGCTGCACAGAGAAACCCTGTCTCAAAAAATATATATATATATCAGAAAGGAGCTCTAGTTTCTTAACTCTTTCTAAAAGACCATACATAATCCAGACTATACATAATCCTGTGACCCAAAATCCAAATAAACTACAAATAAATTAGTCCAGACACCAGTTCCTTCTGATGAACAGTTTTGGAATTACATGTCTAGATTTTCACTGTGAAAATGGACTGTATGTATTCCTCAATTTCAACATATTTCCTAAATGATTTTAGGGTCTCTTAATTTAGGAATACTGTAATACTGTATTCTTAGAGGCCACTGAGGCTCTCTTAAGGCTTATTAAGGAGAACTATTTCCTCCAAGACAGAAGAATTCTCTCTCTCTCTCTCTCTCTCTCTCTCTCTCTCTCTCTCTCTCTCCCCCCCCCCCCCCCCCCCCGCATGGAGACATGACATACCTTAAGAGCTAGTCTAGCTGGATCTGTCAGTCACCTGGGTACATACCACCCCTGATTCATCTTAAGCCATGCTAATAAATAAATAAATAAATAAATAATCTACTTATTCTTTACAAAAACCCTCCCCTCGTGCAGACGCTTGCAGAGCTTCCTTATGTACGATGAGGAGAAAACCTGCATTTCTGAGTTACTCAGAGGAGTGTAAATTTTCCTGTTTGTGCTTTCTATTTCTTTCCCCAAAACTTAGCATACTTTCCTGATGCCTTAGGTTTTCTCATGCTTTCTCTGAAGTTCCCACCCTTCTTCTGCTACTTGGCTGCTTACAAATGGCATGGCACATCCTTCCTTCAGCTTCCTCTCTTCCATCCAGCTGGGAAGATTTACAGCTTATCTTCCCTATTGTTTTTCTCTTAAACTTTAATAATATTGTCCTTGTTTTTTTTTTGTTTGTTTTTTGGGGTTTTTTTTTTTTAGTGTCTTTTCCTAAATTTGAGTTAGAAGACTAAGAACCCAAAAGAGGAATTACAAACTTTCTAGTAACACAACCACATTCAAAGATGCCCAGTTGCTACACTCATATGATATGGTGAATATTGTAATTACAGAATACATAAGTGATACTTTTTTGAAACAAAGTTGTATCTTCACTGGCCCATTACTCTTGCATAAGTGTGTTGCCGTTTCTTATTAGAGCAATCCTGTGCAGAAGGCAGCACCCATGGTGTCAGGAGTCAGACTCTGACACTCTGACATTTACTGTATTTGGCTAGCAAGCGGAACTAAGAAATCAGAGACAGGAAGAGAGAAAAGTCTGAGTATTTGTTTCTGCTACTTCTTCCACCCTGCCTGGCTGTGATTTGAGCACCAACTGTTTTCCACTAGCCAAAGCCAGAGGAGCGGCTGCTTCATTGCTCTTAGCAGTTGTCTAATCCTGTTCGAACCATTTTGACCTCACTTAAAGTTCAGCTACAAAAGCAGCTTCCCACCCTTGGTCCCTGATGCTTTGCCACCACTTGCAAATTAGCAATTTACCTTTCCTGCACAAATATAACACCTTCACTGAACCTGATTCAATGAAGCAGTGCAGCAACTCTGAGTGAGAAGGTTGGAGAGGAGATTCAGGAAATAGGAGCAACAGTGAGATGCTGAGAATTTTTGTTACATACCAACAAAGCTGCACAAATCGGACCGTGGATAATGTACAGGAGATGAGTGTCTGAGCTGATCCAGCAACTAGGGGATAAAGCGGAGATATTTGAAAGATTTTCATTTCACTTAGTTCTAATGGAAGTCACAAATGGAAAATGTCTTACTTGTCATTGTAATACAAGCTTCTGGCAATGGCATGGATGCAGGCAGGAACCAGAGGAAACCCTACAAATAAAGCAAAACCAAATGAATGGGTAAGTTTCCTTATTGAAGAGGATTTTCAAAGAAGTCATGAACTTCAGAGACACCTTAGCAGCAAAAAATAACTATGCCTATGCTTACTGTGTAATTGCATATGTACAGTCAAGAGGTAAGTGTGACCAAATATCAAGTGTGAATATCACATATCATTTTGAATTAGTAAGATGCCAGAGATTAACCCATTCTGTGCTGCCTAAGTCACAATCCTTGGCAGAATTTTTGTATTCATATAATTTCCATGGGATGAAATTGGCTAATATTTAATGTCAAATGTTGGGAAATATTGAGACTGATAATTATTTCTATTGTAGAAGGCAGATTCACAGAAAGCCATCTTCTGAAGAAAAAGAGAAAAATATGTTCCTTATAACAAGATTTCTGCATCCATTGAGGCTTCTAAATAAGATCTTGAAAAAACTGAAGTGAAGACATGTTTTATAGAGACAATCAGAATGCACTGACAATTTGGCATATGTATCTACATAGCTCTTAAATCTATTGCAATATCTCCAGCTTCATTTGATAGATAATAAAGAAATTAAATTTCTGTTTTATTCCTAGAAGATAGTTCTATTAAATTCATTTACTATGTATCATATTCACATACACCATTCCAATGACCTTAAGAAACACAGTGTATGTTTCATAGCTTGTTTTGTGAGTTACACTATGGCAAGACAGTGTATGAAAGAGGTAGATCTTTTGCATACTTTCATTCAATTATTGACATGTCAAATTTTGACCATAAGATGACAGTTTAAGAAGATCTCAACAGGGCTGGATATGACAACACACATCTCCAATTCCAGTGCTCGGGAGGAAGATATAGACAAATCTCTGTGATTTCAAACCTTTCTGATCTACATAGCAAGTTCTAAGCCAAAAAGATCCTGTCTCAAAAGCAAAGAAGAAGAGAAAGAAAAGCAAGAGAGAAAGAGTGAGAATGGGGATCTCATAGAGATTTTTTTCTTTGTTTTGTTTTGTTTTGTTTTGTTTTGGTGGAACTTCAAAGCTATTTAGCAACATGTCTTCATTTTACAAGTGAAAAGAGAGGACATTCAGAAGAGTTCAGAGACTAGATCCTTAATTTGTAAATTTAATTCTATTGCCAGAGTCACTACATATTCATCTAGAATGAGCTTGTCACTGGAATATCAAAATATAAAAACACTATCACATTATTAATCAAAATGAGACTAGAGAAACCGTGAGCTTGTAACATTTTGCCTATTTCAATTTGTGGCCATGAGGAAAGAATGGTTGGTACTAAGTCGTGTGGCCTAAATGCAAAAAGCCTTCTTCATCAGATAAATCAGCAGGTAATGACAATGGCACCTACCCCAGCCAAGAAAATAATACCACATCAAGTGCTGCTTCTCCGCAAACACAGCCACCACGATGAGTGTGTGCAGATAAATGCCTTCACAGAGCATCCAAAAGTAGTTACAGCCCATCAGGTAAAGATGAATGAACTGAGACACTTTGCAGCTCACCTGTGAGGGGGGGAACAATGATTTCTTAGTTTATGAAATCCACATGTGAAGCAAGTAATCTAGTTTATTTCAGAAACCATGGGATTTTCTTGTCCCACACACAAAAATGTGCACACTAGGGAATCTGGGTTACACAGTGTTCTTTTGAACACTCATCCCACGATGGTTCTAAAGTTACTAACTATGTACTCTCTTAGTTCATGAGAATCACGTGATATTCCAAACATTTCCAAACAAAAAAAGTCTCCCTCTGCTTACTGGGTATCTGTTTTTCTAATGAGTTCAAATTATTGTCTATATTTATTTAGATTAAATATAAACAGTAGACACATACACCACGGTACATCAGTTTTGATTCTGGTTGTTTTCTGTCAGAAAAACTTTGATAGTCTTATCAGTACTTAATTAAACATGTATAAATCCTTAGTACGATTTGTATCCTTCACCCCACAAGCGTAAATAAATAAAACATACTAAGTAATTCTCTAATGAACCTACACATTGCCTAAACATAAAATATAGAATTTTCATATCAGAATAAAGAATGGTGGTTTTTTCCTCCTATTTTTCTTTTTTTTTCCTCCTCCTATTTTTCTTGAATTCCTATTTTCTCTTTTTTTATAGAGAAGAAGAAAGAAATCCGAATATCAGATAAAGAAAACACAAAGAAGGTGAGAAATATTGATTCTTTCTTTATAAAAGTTAATAGACATGTAGCAGAATGTTACAATCTTTAATTTCTGATCTGAAATTCAATATACATTTAGTAGCTATTGTAATTTTTTTTAAATTAACATTACGTTAGAAACCAAGAGCACTTAAAAATAAGTTTAGAGTTATCATGGATAGGATGAATAGCATTTGTGTAAATGTCATCCTAAAGCACTTGAACTATTATCATTTACACATATTTTATCAAATTCTTGAATATTTCTGTGAGCCATACAGTGTAAATGGCCACACATCGTATAGATATTTAGAAAGAACTAGTGGAAGAAGATGGAAAGTGGTGGCTCACACCTTAATTCCAGCACTCAGGAGGCAGAGGCAGGTGGATCTCTGTGAGTTCCAGGACTGCTAAGAAACCCTACCTCACAAAAACAAAAAACAAAAGAACAAAAACCAAAAACAAAAAACAAAAACCTTATACATGTAATAACATCTTCCTAAAGGATATTTGTCACATTATTTCTTCATTTAATGTGTGGAGAATGCACTTGGTGAATTTTAAATCATTCAGTATCATGTGTTTTACAAGATGATACTCAAGCCTGTCAAAGCAAAAACAGTTTTAACTACATAGACTTGAGTATCTGTATGATGAATTTAACCCTCAATGTTTATGTAGCTGTTACATTCTTCTCTAACTCAACTTGATTCTGACATTACTTTAAAATTAATATAAACTATTGTGAGGAAAAATATTTAGTACATACTTCAGAAAAAAATATTTCTGTGGAGGGCACTGTTAATATAATCGGAAAATACTTTTTTCCAAAGAGTAAATTCACTATACTTCAATGTATACTTTGTCTATTAGGTATATATCCTTATGTTTCTGCTTACATAAGAGTCAGAAACTTGCTGTGTTACAAAAGAGATTCTCCAAGAAAAATTCATTCTTCAATGGCAGAATGCCAGCCAGTGTTTCATACTGCTAATTATATTCTGGCCTGTTTCCTCCCCCGATGACTTTAGAGAGGAACACAAGCAAGATCAAACCACCAGGAAGCACATGTGAAAACAATGAGAAAAACTTTAGAACTTTGTAAATTACCCTGAAAATATGCATAAAGACATACAAAAGTGTTATTTATTGACCTATTTGGTGGAAATCCCTTTCCTTCTCTGATTTCAGTAACTAGGTAACATAATTCAGAAAACACAACTTGTGCTCAAGAGCGCGCGCACACACACACACACACATCCATATCCATATCCAAAATTGGAGGTCTTGCCACGATGTCAAAGTAGCTGATTCTAAAAGTGTGAAAATTTCTGTTATATATACATATATTTGAATCCAAGTATAGTTTACATCATGGATAACTTATATACATATAAATTTTAGCATATATTTTTAAACTATGGCTTATAGGAAGAAAAATGTATCATTGCTTATTGAAGCAATGATTGGTAGAACACTATTTGTTAATGGAGTTTAACATTACTGTACATACAAAGTATGTAAATCCTTGTCTTACTGATTTTAATAATTTTTAATGTAAGCCTGATAGCCAATATTATTTAAATTTCCCATTACATATATTTGTTCTTTCATTTAAGTACTCAGATGCACAGACTGCTTTGGATTAAACATTGCCTAGTCATAGTCTTATGGGCCATCAGTACCAGGAGTCCATAGCCATGACATGAACTGAAGTGTTGGAACTGTTGAAGGAAATTCACCTTCCTAGACTGCAATACAGCTATGCTTTCTGTATGTGTACATATACGTTTATTTAATGATTCACATATTCTATATCAGAAACCACCCCCAACCCATGTCTCTTCCTGTTAATCTTCACAGGTACAACCATGTTTTACTTACAGGATTTGTGGCCACTAAGGCCTGGTTGTTAGCCACTGCCGTGAGGTGAATGATTGTTACAATCGAATTACAAACAAATGAAAAGAACAGGTTTTTATGCAATGTAATCCGTTGGCAACTTAGGCTCCTACAAGGCAAAAAAAATACAATGTGTTGATATTATAAAAATGTTTCTACATTTTAATTAAACATAATTTCAAATAAAGTACACTTTCAATTCATAGAGGTTGCTCTAAGTTTGGAAATCTTATTTTGTTTATCTATCATTTTCACTTGATAAAAATTTTAATTGGGGAAAATCCTGGATGGAAATGAGTTGTTTTCATAGAGATATGCAGATGGGGGGTAGGGAAATTGCCTGAGCAAAATCTGAATTAATTTCTCTTTAATTCTGAACACAATATCTGATCTATGCTGCAAAAGGCAGTTGAGATTTGGTGAAGTTATATAATCAAAGCCATGCCAATGACCAACTTGAATATTTTAATTTACCTGAGACTCCCACACAGGTGAAATGCCCCTAACTAAACTACCCAGTCTGCTTTGCTTAAACAGTCCAGACTATTTTGTTGAACTGATAATGACTATACTTACATCAACCAGTCATGGGAAATATATCATTGCATTTACATTAGCTACATGGATGAAAATTAGAAATCACTGAGGGCATTGATTTGGTTTTTGTAGATTGTTTTTCTGATTAGTCCAGATGTCCTCAAGACATTAAAAAGAAGCTGACCGTTTACCATTTATATAAAACAAAGAAGACCTGGCCCATGGGGTTCATACATAGTAGATTTCAGGAGGGTGTCATTGGCATTGAATGAATGAGCTTCTCAGATTTAATCCTCAGTCACTCTTAGATTTTTTAGTGCATGACTTCCTTACCTCCATTCAAGCGAACAGCCCAGCACAATTTCCTTCCTTAAGCAACTGAACACGGTTTTATTTGGGATTCCAGAGAAAAATGATAAGATGACGCCTACCTGAGGCCAACTGCTGACGGGCAATGTTAAACACACGGGTAGAAATGCACAATACATCACTGCATTGCAGAAAATATAACCTCATGTGCATTCTAGTAAAACTAACTCAGATAGTCTTTGTAGGGAAACCATCCTACACAAATCCCAAGATTTCTACTTTGAAAAATTGAAGTACAGTCTTTCACTTCCTTTTACCTTAAAAAAAAAATCAGAGTGTGCTGAAATTTAGAATTAGCATGGGGAAATAAATGTTTTCCACGTTTAAAAACACAGTTCAGATTATTTTCCTTCTGAAACGTCTGTAGCTCTGAGATTCTATATACAAGCTACACTTTTTTAAAGAATGAGGAAGTCAATATAACCCAAACTAATGATTACAGATTGCCAGTGTGTGCTCAGTGCTATTAGTGAAGATTTAGAAAAGTTTAATGGATGTGATAGCTCTTAAAATAACCATTGGATGTAGTTGAGACAGTCATTCAATAGCAGGTGTTGGCAGCCATCTGCGATCCATCAAAATAGAAAGAATTACAACTCCTGGTTTCATAGTTCAGTCAGCGAACTTGACTTGATTTCACAGAGCATGAGAGGAATGAGAGGAAGGCTCAGGTAAAGTCTGGCCTACAGAGTATTGATGATATTCCACAGAAAATGGGAATTTTTGATAATTTTGAAGAGTACACGATTCTTGTCATTTAAAGCAATTCAACACTGAGAGACAGGCCTATTTTTTTTTCAATAAATGACATGCAACATTGAAAGGCAGGCCTATCTTCTATAAAATGACATAGCAGTAACATGATTTTGATTATTAACAATGAAGATTGTTAACAATAAATAGAACAGGGCTACTTAACTCCTTCTTACAGTAACTAACATGATTGTAGTTGTATCAACATGCACAACTCAAGCCAAAGCTCTCTGCATTAGCAGTCCTGTTATTCAGCTGAGTGGTTAAAACTGTTACAATAAGCTGGGTGGTGGTGGCTCATGCCTTTAATCCCAGCACTTGGGAGGCAGAGGCAGGCAGATTTCTGAGTTCGAGGCCAGCCTGGTCTACAGAGTGAGTTCGAGGACAGCCAGGGCTATACAGAGAAACCCTGTCTCGAAAAACCAAAAAAAAAAAAAAAAAAAAA